TAGTACATCCAAAATAAGGAATTTACTATCTAGAGCTTTGTCAAGATCCTTGATTATATTTATAAATTTGTTGTTTAGGTTTTTTCTTTTTTGTTCATTAGTATAACTCCAATTATTATATAATTCATCAGAGTCAAGTTTATCTGTTGTGAACAGAGACATCTTTCTTTGTATCATTTCGAAAAAAGTTGACAAACTGGGTGGGTACGTAAAAGATATTCTTTTTTTTCCATCGCTTTCACATGTATGAAAAAAATATTGTGACATTTCATTTTTTACAGCATTTTCAAATTTATCGTTTTTGATATAACGAAATGGACGATTCCAGCGTTTATAGTCGAAAAGAATAGTCACAAGAGGTTTTTCAAACCAGAGGAGTTCTTTTTTTTCTTTAAATATTTCTAACTTCGAATTTTCTTGATTCCGATCCACATCCAGATAATAAGTTTCATAAACGGGTTTATTTTTATATCGTGTCTCTTTAAAATCGATTTTTTCCGGATCCTCCTTTTCTTCCGAAAAAAGGGAAGGAGAAGGATCTTCTTCGGTGGATCCCTCTTGTTCCTGTTTAGTCCCCTTCGTTTCTGAAGTTTTTTCTACATCTCTTTCTTCCTCACTTTCCCCCCTTTCTTCCGTTTCTTTCAGTTTCTTAGTAAGAATGGGTGACGGTATTCTGCCTAAATAGTAGACACAGGTAATAAATAATAGAATACTAAAGATTCGAACCATAAAATTTAAGTAGACAACTTATTATTTTTCAGTATAAACTTAATACTATTCATTATAATATTAAAATATAATATATGATTATTATAAACATAATAGCAAATGTTCAACCTTATAACTATAATTACTATACTATAATAAATAGTATAATTAATAGTATAATGAATTAATATGGTTTCTTACTTATTTATTAAAAAAAAGAAAAATATTAATAAAATCTCTATTCTCCCTTCAAATATGAATACTACCGTGCTAGTTTTATGAAAAAAACAAAGCCCCTTATCGGATTTGAACCGATGACTTACGCCTTACCATGGCGTTACTCTACCACTGAGTTAAAAGGGCATATTTGATTCAATTCCTGAATAAGCCACTAATCACTATGTGTTTAGTCTATATACATATTATATGTATATAAATACATCGTATACGTTATAATATATCTTAAACGTATAGTGGTTCATTCAGGAACGATAAATTTGATTTACATAATGAGTATAGGATATACTTGTAAGTATAAGTAAAAAATTGTAAGTATAAGTAAAAAAAAAGGGGGTTTAGTGATATTTGATTTCATAAATATCAATCAATGCAAGGAATTGTTTCAAGACAGATTCTAATTGCCATCATAACGAAATTCATTTGATTGATACAGGTACCTACCAATTCAACCTAGATCCAAACTATTTCATCGAATCATTAATAAAGCGATTCAGCTTGCCCCCCAAACCAAATTCTTAGAAAAAAAAGAAAAAAAAAAAAAGATTTATTAAATAAAATAATATTAACATTATTAATAATTATTGAAATTATTAATAATATTATTTAAATTCTAAATTTAAAGAAAAAAAGAAAATAGATTTATTTATGGAATTATAAAATGTCGATTAGAATGAACGATTCAGGAATATAAATAATCAAAGAATTCTCTATAATCGTGAAAGACAGAAAGATCCTTCGCGTTGAGTCATACGATTCCATTATATTGACAATTTCAAAAAACTATTCATACTATGATCATAGTATGATGACGGTTGGGCAAGTATGCCCCCATCGTCTACCGGTTCAGGACATCTCTCTTTCAAGGAGGCAGCGGGGATTCGACTTCCCCTGGGGGTAGGGTACTACGAAAGGAAGTTGATCGTGGATTATCACTAAGCCTGGATTGATTCTTCCCGGGTCGATGCCCGAGCGGTTAATGGGGGCGGACTGTAAATTCGTTGGCAATATGTCTACGCTGGTTCAAATCCAGCTCGGCCCAATAATTCGCCGATCCACCATGAAATGATATAAGCCATTTGTTGTTCTCCAGAAATGCTCGATCCCAGTCAAAATCTCTGATATTGATATATCTTTATCCCTATCGCTATTACTCTATTTATTTTTCTTTTTTCCAACAAGTTTTGATCTTGCTAATGATCTATATTCATATCAAGATCTGGAAGTGTAAAGTCTAATGAAAAGAGTAAAGAAAAAAAAGACCTTTTTCATTGAAAGATTGACTATCCAATTAATTTGGAAATAACGACAAGATTATTAGTAATCACTGCCTCTCTTGCTAAAGTTCATATCCATATCGAAAGTATTTGAATAAAAACATAAGAATATGTATACTGTACACCTTATTTTATTATGTTATTTCCTTGGGATTGTAGTTCAATTGGTCAGAGCACCGCCCTGTCAAGGCGGAAGCTGCGGGTTCGAGCCCCGTCAGTCCCGATGGATCCAAATCCAATAAAAAAATACAGCAATTCATCTTCCATTTTTCTGTTCTGTGAAAGAAAGTACAAAGAGTAGAATTTCATTGCCAACAGGAATCCCTTTTCTTTTTATCTTTTTATTTTTTTAATTTCTATTGTTTGGCTTTGTTTGGAACCAATGATAAGTGTAAAAGCGGTTAGATGATACTTCATCAAATGATTGTACAAGGAGGGCGCTAGTTTATAGAAAGAAAGGGTGGAAAAGAATGAAAAATATAAATCAAAGTTAAAGTAAAGGGGTTTTTGATTGTATCAAAATTGACTTTGGAATTCGATATGGATAAAAGATCTTCCTATGTTATATTATTCAATTCTTGACGATGAATCAATTTGTCAGATATTGTTATTCATGATATTGATCCGATTCGATTATATCTCGATGTAATTCATCTCATTGAATTTATAGACAAAAGATTTATTATCTCTATGGGATTAAATCCCGAGTTATTGCGAATTAAAGAAAAACGAAAGGATGAAATTATGGAAGTAAATATTCTCGCATTTATTGCTACTGCACTGTTCATTCTAATTCCTACTGCTTTTTTACTTATAATATACGTAAAAACAGTAAGTCAAAGTGATTAATTTAAATTAAACTTGTGACTTTTTAGTTTTTATCAATGATTGAAGAGAAGAAATAAAATAAAAAGGATTCAAATTTCACGTTTTAAATGAAATCATCGAACTAGAATCAGCAGTATTCTATGAGATACTAGATAGTATGGTAGAAAACGATTTTTCTACCATACTAGTATTATTATTGTACTGTATAAAGTTTGCTGTATGACGATACAGGTTAATTTAATATATATCAATTGACATTATATAGATATAAATTCCATATAGAATGTACATAGTGTCATGTCCCAATCCTATTTCTTTGCTTCATCTATTTCTATTTGATTTATTTGATTTGTGTTGATTCCAATCAATTTGAAATAATCGAAAGACAGCTCTTACTCTTACGATTCTAATTCCTAGATTTCTTATCTTTTTTAATATGAATTCCGATATCCATTGAAAAAAAGAATCAAATCAATGAAAGAAAAAGAGGTATGGGTATAATAAAAGAAAATCAAGTAATCTTCTTGTTAGCATTCCAACAAAGAAGTAATTGATTAACCAGTTGACAGAGTATCCAGAGGTTCCATGGGAACTTCTTCGGATTTCGAAAAGGATTAATAAACCTCACCAATTTTAACCCTTCAACCATTATATGAAATGAAAAAAAAAGACCAGCATAAATAAAATTTTTAAAATAATAAAACAAATGGTAAGTGCGCAATATGTGACTTGCCCAAGACAATATTTTCTTATGTGTAGTATCTCCTTGTACAACCACTATGTCTATGTTGTTTCCCGTAAAAAAGTGTATCCACGTAATGTAATAACAGAACTCTTTTCTCTTTGAAGAGGAAAGACGGAAAAAAATAACAAATAAAAAGTAAAAAAAAAAGTAAAGTATATAAAAGGCTTTCGTTCTTACTCTTACTCATTGTCGATATAGAAAATTTATGAAGAATTCGATTGGAAAAGATTTCATACCATTTGGAGTACTTTCGAAATACGAACATAGGAATAATTGAAATATTTGTTTGATTGAAAGAGTTCATATGTTATTTATAGAATACATTACTCCACTAGAATCCAATACATATAACTTCGAAATGAAAATTTTTTGAAATTCAATTTTTAAATTGAAATAGTGAATTAAAAAAAAAAGTCTTTGCAGAACGATCTATAAAAAAAATTGATACAGTTTGATTCCTAAACTCAATTAGTAGTACTTCTAGAGTCCACTTCTTCCCCATACTACGAGTGAAAGGGAAAAGGTAAAGACTACCATCAAAGCAGCCCAAGCGAGACTTACTATATCCATGTGAATTATGTCCTCGATCTCTATGAAGGAATTATTCAATTATTGTTTACTAATAATAGTAGAATTACCAGCGCAGAGTCAAAAGGGGGTTCTGATCCAACACCATTGATGAAAAAATCCAATAAATCCAATTAGACCAAGTTCTAATGATTATACTAAAAGATCTCTAGTATAATCGGAAAACATTAAGTACAAGCAAAATAGGCAGAGACAGCCCTTGAAGTCTCAAAAGTATCAAAGGAATGTTAATAATATGTCAGAATAATAAGACCTATTCTTTCTTTTGTCGCCCTTCATTTCATTAATTCAAAAGTATAAAAATATAGAATCAAGCTAGATCATTATCTATCGCATACTCCTATTTTATTTCTTTTCGATTTTTCCCTTTTATTTGATCTCAATCTTACCATCTTCGATTGTCGCTATGAACCAATCGAAGACGTCCTATTACGTTCTTGACTCGAGATTATCGAAAAGTTCAAATTTATTTTTGTACTTTAGTTAAGTTAAAACTTTAATATATTAATATATAATATATAAATAAGTAAAAGTATATAAACTAAAAGTTTATATAAATATAAATTTAAGTTAAAGTAAAAGCCAATTAGCCATTCAACCGAATTACTATTGAATGAATGTCAGAGTACTCAGAGACTTTCATGAGTATGTATACAAAGTATCTTCTGCTCTTTCCGCAACTCAAAATTTCATTAGATTCTCCGTCCGGCTATCCAAGCAGTTATTTTCCGCAGTAAGTTTAAGAAAAATCATGTATATGTCTATATGATTCAAAAGTTTCAAGTATGTATGTTTAAAAAGTATACGTACATATGTATGTTAAGAAAACCAAGGTTGTAACTAACAACCCTAGTTTTGAGTGTTTAAGTTTTAGAACGTTGCAACAGTACATGCAACAAATAAATGAATTTTAAACATGACGATTTAAATGAGTAATTTTAGAAGGACCTTAAGATGTACTTGAATTTAAGATTTCTCACGAAATCCGTTTTAAAGTCAAATGAGATGGCCGATTGAAATGACTAGTTTTAGAAAAGCTTTTAAAGAGTATTTAAAACAAGAGTTCAAATGCTATTCCATTTGAAAGATATTCCTAAAAGGTTTTATCTTAACTAAAATTAAGAAAAGCTTTAAGAAATTTAGTGATTCACTTATTTGAAATTATTGTTACAAATTATGAAAGTATTCCTTCTTATATAAAAAAAAAAAAAAATGTTCCGCATATTTTAAGAAACCCCAGTAAGTACAAGTTAAAGTTTAAGTTACAGTGGCGGCCTCATAGGAGGGGCGTCACATTGGATCACGCTCTTTTTCTCTATGTTAGATTTTTTTCATTCGGTTTTCTTAATAAAGGACTTTAAGGAGCTAGGCCTCACTTAATCTTTTATTCATAGAGTAGAGCATTCTTCATTCTAGCTGTTCTGTTCGTTTGCCTTTTGTGAACTTTTTTTTTTAATCGTTTTATTAGCATTCGTGTCTGGATTCTAGACTTTTTATTTTTTCTAACCTTTTGTTTTCCTGTTATTAAGTAATTAGAGTTGAGAGCTTGATATTGGTAACTGTTTAATTGCTTAGTGATTAGTGTCAACCTAATCATGAGATATGTGACCTTCTCCATTTATTAAAAAATAAAAAAAAAAAAAAATATATATATATATATAAACAAGCACAACATAAGGACCTAGCTAGTAGTACTATTTGGACTGATGGAGATAAATAACATTGTTTTGCTAAAGAAACGTGTAACATGCCTAATCTTTTGTGTTCTCCATTTCTGTCAGAAGATACGGCGAGATACCGAACAATAGTGGTCATACCTAGTCAAGAATGAAATTTCTCTGCACTAGACCTGGAACATTTGATAATTGTTTGGTAATTTTGCACCATATATAGTGTTCGTTACAAGATTATTGTATTCATACAGCAGATTAATTGAACTTGTAAAATTTAGAGACTCAGAGCTGAGAATCGCTAATGATGATTAATATAATTTCTGTAGTAAAAGTGATCATCTTATCTTTTTATTACTTGCTTTTCATTATTGCAGATCATAAAGGAGCTTGCCAAAATCATGATCATGTTTGCCCAGATATAAGGTGTGGGGTAAATGAGCCACCAATTCGATTCCCTTTCCGGCTCTACGACCAGCCATCGTACTGTGGCTTCTTCGGGTTCGAACTACAATGCAATGGAAACAACAGAACTGAAATTGAGCTGCCAGCCAATTCTGGGATGAAATTCCTTGTTAAGGAAATATCATACAAATCTCAGGAAATTCACTTGTATAATAAATACTACAAGTGCAAGCTTGAGGAAGATAAATTGAAAATCCTCGATCTTTCAATTGGTCCTCCTTTTGAATTCTCATCCGCTCATTTTCCCACAGTTGGCTCTATTCTATTCAACTGCTCTTCCAGTACTGGATTTGAAGGTACTATCTATTGCATCAGGGCTGTTGAATCTACCGCCAACATCGGTTTATATTTGAGAGAGCTCGTGTCATGTACGAAGATAGTCGACAAGTCATCACTTCCGCCGGAATTATTTCGAGACTCTAATTTTCAGTTGACATGGCGGAACCCAAGTTGTGCACATTGTGAAGCAAAAGGAAAGAGATGTGGATTATTGAAGAGAAAGGGTGCTGAGATTGAAACTGAGTGCTTTGGGATGATGTCCAAAACACAAGAAGGTAACATTAATTAGTAATCTGCACATACAAGTAAATTATTGTTTTATTTCTATTTTTATATGTTCAATGACATGAAATCTGACATTTTATGGCCAACTTAATGTGACGCGTGCTGAGATTGAAACTGAGTGCTTTGGGATGATGTCCAAAACACAAGAAGGTAACATTAATTAGTAATCTGCACATACAAGTAAATTATTGTTTTATTTCTATTTTTATATGTTCAATGACATGAAATCTGACATTTTATGGCCAACTTAATGTGACGACCCTCCTATGAGGCCGCCACTGTAACTTAAACTTTAACTTGTACTTACTGGGGTTTCTTAAAATTTGCGGAACATTTTTTTTTTTTTTAATATAAGAAAGAATACTTTCATAATTTGTAACAATAATTTCAAATAAGTGAATCACTAAATTTCTTAAAGCTTTTCTTAATTTCAGTTAAGATAAAACGTTCTAAAAATATCTTTCAAACAGAGCAGCATTTGAACTCTTATTTCAAATGCTCTTTAAAAGTCTTTCTAAAACTAGCCAATTCAATCGGGCCATTTAATTTTGACTTTAAAACGGATTTCGTGAGAAATCTTAAATTCAAGTACATCTTAAAGCCCTTTTAAAATCAATCATTTAAATCGTCATGTTTAAAATTTATTTATTTGTTGCA